CAACCCATTTCTATACAAAGAAGCCCTTCATCTTGCTGGAGTTTATGAGACTTGGGCACAATTAAACCACCTACGTGAGCAAAGTTCCTCAGCTGTGGCAATGTATGCAGGGTCAGGGCTGAGCCGATGACATGCCAACCTTTCCTGCTGATCTGGCACCAGGGAAGTGGAAGTGATGCTTTTAGAAGCAATTCTCTGTAAAGACACATCACTGATGCTGCTTAAAAACCCTCCCGCTTTGATTTTTTCACTCTTTTATGGCTGTGGTGACTATTTCTTTTTTGTGATTAATGTGTGTTTATTATTTGTCTGTTTTCTTTTGGATGCTATTTTTACTTTACACAGTGAACCACTGCTTCTATGATTCATTGAGTCAATGTTTTTCCTTCTACAACTGATGGCACAAGTACTGGCCAGCACTGGGAATTAAGGTAAGCTTGAAATCTGTTGCTTCTAACATTAAAACTGTCTATGTAAAATAGTTCCTTTCTGATGTTTATGACCTATAGAAGACAAGTACAGCTCTGGATCAAAGCAAGTGAAAAGGGTGATGGAAAACATTTAAGGAGACCTAGCTGTCTGTATCCATCCACCAAACAAGCCAAAATGCTATGTTGGGAAGAGGGTAAAGGGATTTAAAGAAGAAAAGGAAGTCCCAGTATGAGCAAAACCAAGGGAGGAATAACTACCTGAATGATAAAACAGAGTATGTAGCCTCAAAGATGCTAATTCAGGTCCTGAGGGATCTAATCAACCTCTTTGTTGAAGTAAAGATAAAACTTTTTGACAGCAAATGCTTTCTGATAAAATGGAATTTTCAATTACCCTGCAGAACATCTGCTCCGTGCTGCCATTTCCCGGGAAAAGCATTGCCACCCTCTGCAGGGTTGGGAACGTCTCACACTGAGATTCCCCCATTCACTCCTGACGGCAAAGCTCCTGTAGTCCCCAGATCACCCACCACTGGGCACAGAGGTGACAGTAGTGGTGGGGCCCTGCCTGGCACCTCACCTCATTATGGAAACCAGGGTTTGCTCCAGTGAAGGACTTGGAGACAAGATTACACAAGGACATGGAGAAAATCCACCCCACACTGCAGTTCAACAGGGCAAAGTGCTGGGTCCTGCACATGGGTCATAAGAACCCCATGCAATGCTACAGGACTGGGGAAGAGAGGCTGGAAAGCTGCTCATGGAAAAGTAGCTGGGGGCGCTGACTGATGGAGCTGAGCATGAGCAGCTTGTGCCCAGGCAGTCAGGAAGCCCCCAGCATCCTGGCCTGGATCAGCACCAGTGCTGCAGCAGGGCCAGGGCAGGGATTGTGCCCCTGTGCTGGGCACTGGTGAGGCTGCACCTCAAATCCTGTGTTCAGCTCTGGGCTCCTCACTACAGGAGAGACATTGAGGGGCTGGAGCGGGGCCAGAGAAGGGCAATGGAGCTGGTGCAGGGCCTGGAGCACAAGTGTGATGGGGAAGGGCTGAGGGACCTGGGGGGTTCAGATGGAGAAGAGAAGGCTCAGGGGGGACCTGATCGCTCCCTCCAACTGCCTGAGAGGAGGATGGAGCCAGGAGGGGCTGGGCTCTGCTCCCAAGGAACAAGGGATGGGACAAGAGGAAGCAGCCTCAAGCTGCACCAGGGCAGGTTTAGATGGAGCTGAGGAACAATTCCTGCCCCAGAGGGTGCTCAGGCATTGAGGCTGCCCAGGGCAGGGCTGCAGGCACCGTCCCTGCAAGTGTTCACACCCCATGGAGACGAGGCCTCAGTGTCATGGGTTAGGGGTGGCCTTGGCAGTGCTGGGGTAAGGGTTGGACTGGATGAGCTTAAAGGGCTTTTCCAACCTGGTTCATTCTGTGGTTCTATGAAATAGGCCGAGATAAAACAGGCAACCCCAAGATTTATCCCCCAACTTCTCCATCCAACCCAAAACATCACTGAGATCTCAGAGCCCCTTGCAAACCTCCCTTTTTCAACCAATCTCCATGGAAGTTCAGCTGAGGACACCATTAGGGCAGGATGCACATAAACTTCTAGTAGCGCTTAACACCTCTCCAAACAAACAAACATCTCAACAGCAGCCAGGCAATAGGGCAATGGCACAAGGTGGAGCGGTGCCATGCCCGCCTCCCTCAGCATCCCATTTGGTGTCAATTAGCAGGGGAAGGAAAACAATTCCAGGCCATAATGAACTCCAAACTGGGCACATATTAGAGCAATTAAAGGCATCTTTTCAACTGATGAATTTATAATCAATAATTAAGATCCTGAGGTAAAGAGGGACTGGGCAGAAGTCCTGCTCCCAAAATAAGGGACGTGGCTGAGCTCCAGGCAGTATTTCAGATGACCTGCTGCTACCCACTACAGCTCAACACCCTCTGTGCTGTGGTTTGCCATTTTTTCTGGGAATCTAGGTCATTTCCAACGGGAAAGAGACAGCTTCTGCCAGCAGGACTGGCAGCTGGTGACACTCCCACCCAAGAGTGGCACCAGGGCAGTGCTGATGCACTGGTTTAAGAACACTAAAGATGCTTGGACCCATCCATGCCTACCTCTGTCTACAGGAAATCCAGCTTCTCAGTAGGCAAAGTCTGGAGGGACAGGTCCACACTAAGCCCTTCAGTGCCAGCACAGAGGAACCATCCTCTACACCTGATTTCTGCCAACCAATGTCTTCCCTTGGGAGAGCCAGGACTACCCACAAGCAAAGATCCCCAAATCATCGGGATGAGGTCTGAGAGTTGGCCACTCACAAAGGACTCGTGGTGTTAGGAGCCAAGATCCAAGCTCAGAATGGGGTCACCTCTTTAGGCTCCCAGGCAGGAGATCACCGGCATCAATGAGCAAACTCTGACAAGTCTGCCACCCTGCTCCTATGGGATTACATGAGATGTGGTTCAGGCACAGACAGCGAGTGAAGGTAAAGCATAGGGACAGGAGCTGCCAGGCTCAGGGATGTGGTTGGCCCACTGGTCCTGTACATCCTTGGCACTGAACTTGTGTTTCCTCCCCACCCTGCCACTCTGGCCTGAAATGGGATACAAATTACCATGCCCAAACCATCGCTTTAATCACGCGGCTATCACCATCATCTCAGCATCTTGATTTTCCTGATTATATTCTGCAGTCCCTGCTCAACAAATCAGCTCAGAAAATATTCTCTTTAACCTTCCTTTTCAGCTTCTGTGACAGTAACCGCTAACCTCCCTGCCTGCTGCTCCCCTCACTGCTCCAACAACACCCTGACAACCTCAGAGGTGAGTTCCACATGGGATATGGAGAACAGGATCCACATTCCTCATGGCAATACAGGTTTCCTCCCCAAAATAAATCACAGCCAAGAGCACCAACCCCCGGCCATCACAGCCAGACCCAGAGGCTGCCTTTGGAAATACTCCTGATTTTGGGGAGGGTATTTTAGATGCAGTGAGGAGCTCACATTTCAATGGATTGGGCTGTCTATATTTCCATCTGAGTCCTGCGACGAGCTCTGCCTCCAACTCATCCTCTGTAACTTATTTGCATTGTTATCTGGTGCACAACAGAGCCAGCACGCAGATTTATCACCAATGTAATCCCTGTAAAACCCTATCTGCAGCCCGTTGAGATTGGGGGCTTTTTATTTTTGCCCAAGAAATGTGACCAAAAAGAATGAGCAGATGTTGCTCAGACCATTCAACGGGACAGGAATCAGTTATGAACATTCCTGCTCCTACAGTTCTCCCTTTCTTCAAAAAGCATCTTAGGAGACCCTCTCCTGATCAGAATGAAAGAGCATTCCTTTGTAGCAGAAGAATAATAAATGATAGCTATCAGCCTGCGTTCTCTGACACGCAGGATTAAGCTGCCACTGTACACTTATATAAATGTTTAATTCTTTTCATCTCTGGCCACAGTAGGCTTGTCTGGAAATACATTATCGCTGCGGATGCCATCCCTCTTCAATTAGTGTGGCTGGCAGTGCGGAATGGGTGGGTGACCTCCACGTCCCCCTCCTCACAAGAGTCTTACAGGGTTAACTATGGCCATTTAGCAGACTCTATGGAGAATTAATACAGCGATCAGCTCCTCTCCAGAAGGAACAACCACATTCGGTGGCACAGATGGCAAGAACTCTCTCTCCCCCGTTTGACTCTCTTATGACAGCAAAACAAAGGCTTTTAATGATGTTTACCATGAATTGAATTAAACAGCTGAAGACCAGTACATAATCACAGCATTTTGTTTTCATATCCTTAAGTCTTTTAGCAGTGGGGCTTCCAGTTGAGCCTCAGCTACAGCTTATCTCAAGATATAGCCAAGCGCCCCGAGGCTCCCCAGCACCAAACCACATTCAGGCTCCTTAATTGAAAAAGACAGGATGTTTGCATAGGATGTCTGCATCCGTCAGGCATTAAAAGTGACAGTCGTGCCGAAGTGCAAATGATGGCTTGGGCTCAGCTGAACTCCTCTGACTTCTTTCCTCCAAGCTAATACCAGTCTGGTTTTGGAGCAGGACATCATTCCTACACACGGGGATGCGAAAGAGCTGAAACCCTGTCACCTATTCAGGGGTGAAGGTACAAACCCTCACCCACTGGCCTGAGCTATTCCCTTATGGGATGCCTAACTAATTGCTTGCACGCTCTGATGACCTTTAGGAAATGCTGCCTGGAGAGCACGTGGAGAGCATGGTGAAGGTGAACTGTGCGAGTCCCAGAGAGAAGCATGGACCAGTGCCAGCCTCTGCAATTCCTGCCCTAATCCCAACTCTGCCACTCGATGTCAGGCAGATGCCCAAGGCCTAGTGTGTTTGTGCCTGTGAAACGGAGGATAATCCTAACTGCTTACTTACCTGACAGGCATGGAGTGAAGATTAACATCTGTGTACCCAGCATTCAGCATTATCCCCAGCAAGCACTAAGCATCCCTAATGTGCACCCACTAAGGCAGCACCAGAGCCACCAATGATGCACAAGGGAGCTGGGGTGATGCTGGGCAGCCCCACAGGACACATGAGTGACTCACCTTGCTCGGGCCCCTGGGACCCCATGGAGGGGACGCTGGTGTTCAGCACGTCGTTGACGGCCGTGTCGCAGTAGAGGCCCCGCTGGACATCATGCTCGCTGTCCGTCTGGTCGCTCTCCTCGTGCCCGCTGTCCTTCAGGCTGTTCCCCTCCAAGTCCTTGAACGTGGAGCTGCTGGGGGAGACACAGCTGTGATCTACTGGATGAGACGAGGCAGCCCCATCACCCTGCAGTGAGACCTGCGGTGGTGGCGTGGCTGCCACCTTGTGCTCTGCAGGGATAGGGATGTCCCCAGCATGGGGGCAACCTGCTCTAGTGGAAGGGGGCTGGAACTGGATGAGCTTTAAGGTCCCTTCCAATCCAAACCAGTCTGGGATTCTATGAGACCTGCACCCAGGGGCTGATGTGGCGTGAGACATGGCCTGTGCTTCAAAGCCTCAAAGAGCTGGAGGTTCTCATTACTTTGAAAAGCCCTTTTGCGTCTCCACGGAAACCAAGCAGACCACCTACCATCTGATGCTTTGCAAAGCCATGCGAAGGGGGGCTCTGAAACCCATCTAAATTGGTAAACCCTCAAACATGACTTTTTAAGTAAAGATGTCCCTGTTGAAGCCACTGACTTTGATTCCAGGTGACATCAAAGAGTTTTTTAAGTTAAGAAAGCACTACAAATGTACAATGCATTTGTGTGCGCGTGCAGGAGCGAGAGGCAGGCAGGCAACACAGGGAAAGTACAAATAGATTAATTAAAGCGCTTGGGTTTGAGGAGATTCACTCACCAGAGATAGGAGAGCTACAGCATCTTCATAAAGACAAAGGATGAAAATGATGCCACACTGTGTTACAGACAGTATTTCTTGTTCTTAGATGTCTGCACAGCGTTCCCAACACCCCTTGTACTTAAGATACAAGACAAAGGGGGGGAAACCCTGTCCTACTCGGAGCTGCTGTTCAGTAGGCGCAGGCAACCCCTGTTACAAGGCATTTATCTTCCCCGCAGTGAACCAGACGGGAATGCAGCAGCCACACGACAGTCTCTAAAGGATGGGCAGGTCTCCGGGAATCAGCAGCAGCAGCAGTTCCCAAACAATACAGCCTGGGAGCAAGCCCTGCTGCGGCAGCAGGAGTGCCGCTTGCCTTTATCTTAGGTGTGAATGAGGGAAGATTAATAGATTTGGGTTTTTTCCCTGTGCCTGGGGGATGTGGCGTGGGGCATCTCTCTCACAATCCCATTAGCATCCTTAAACACCATGAGCCACGCAGGCAAATATACCTGCCTTTGGGTAACTGAACCTGGGCTGTTTAAACAATGCGCTCACAGCTCCTTGTATTTTTAAGATGTAAAGAAATGGGATCTCAGCCAGGCAGATAATTGGATGTTTTTCCTGCTCGGATCACATCTCCACAGTTGAGGGGTGGCTCCTGCTCTCTACTGCACCCCTGCTACGCAGAGCGCCCCGATACAGGCATGGGTATAGCTTGGTGGCTGCACACTTCGGCTGGTCCATAGCTGGCGGCCACATCCTGCACCACATCCTGCACAGGCAGAGAGCCCATCCAGCGCTGCACAGCCGCCTCCTGAGCAGGATGGATCGTGCTGTGTCAGTGCCTTTCCCTGCCTCCAAGCAGCCAGGAGGCAGAGCCTGCCCCGCGGGGGGATGCTCACACAATCCAGTGGGGTTCAGCTGGATCACTCTGGTGTTAACCTCCCAGTGACATTCCTTCACCAGTGCTGAGATCTGGGGATACCAGGATTTTATCCAAAGGGTTAAGCTCCCTCAAGGGCAGTTGCCAGGTCGCAGCTGAACTGATGATTTCCTTTTTACCCATGGAACAAAACAGCCTGGCTAAGTGCTGCTTTGCCTCGGTGGTCAAACTGAAACAGTGAGCGTGCATCCAACCCAATTACCTGGCCCCAGATGAGCTTTACTTCTGGGTTCTCTTTCCCCTCACCTCACATGGCAGGGAAATCACGATCCAGACCAATCATTCCATTCCCATACACTCAAATAGCATAAACTTTATGAATGTGAAAGTTGTCAGGGTAACAGCACTCCATCTCGCACACTGCAACTTCCCAGCGCCAAAGAGATGGAAAGAAAGACTTCCCTTTATTGCAAACCAAGAGCAATGGGACTTAATGGGAAGTAAATACTGTTTTGAAAAGCAAATTGTTACTCTGGAAATGTTTTACGTATTAGAAAAGGCAAATGGTATATAACACAGTAAGGAAGAACACTGAATAATCAGGATTTGGCTGGGCAAAGCCTACGTACCTCTTTATTAAATGAGCTCTGCTGTTCACGTAGTTGGAATCAAAGGAGTAGTTTTCAGTCTGGAAGGAGGAAAAGAAAAGGGAGATGGTTACAAGCCTAGTATCCCCATGACTGAGAATAGCAAGGGCAGGACAAAAGCCAGCACACCCCACAGGAAGGAAGCAGCATCCTGGCACAGGACAGGTCCAGCGAGAGGGATGAAGCCAGGCACAGAATCCTCCCGTCCCTATTGGGTCTATCCAACACAAAAAGTCTGGCTGGTGACCACAGACCAATTTGCAGAGAAGAAACAATGTGACTACGCTGTGTTACAAAACTAATTGCTTTTAATTCCCTGATGGACTCCGTTCTGTGTGTGTCAATTTGACTGGAAGTTCAAAAGGTATTTTTCTTATTAGTGTATAATTAACGTGTTAAAATATTTATTGCATAGATATGTAAATGCCAGCAAGGTAATCCCCTGCCAGGGAATTTCATGCGGGCACTTTTCTTTGTTCTACATCATTTCATTTGCAGAGACAGTGGGCTCTGCTAGTAATAAAAGAGCAAACAATGGGTGACATGCTTAAAAGTTGGAGGGGAGTGAAAGCAGGGCAGAGAAGTCAATGGAGCTGTCATTTGCAAGCAAACCCCACTCACGTGCTCTGCTCCTGAAGCATTGCCTTTTAACCCCACATTACACAGCCCTGGATTTCTGGTGCTCAGAGCAGGTAAGGACCCAAACCAAGCAATGAGAAGGTATGGAAGAGAGGAGGGTGTTACCATGCAGGAGCCCATGATGGGAGCCGTGAGGTGGGATGCAGTTGTAGGTGCCTGGTAGCGTGTGGTGGGAGATGCATGGCAGGAGGTGGTAGGAGATGTACAGTGGGACGTGGTGGGACCAGTGCAGTGGAATGCAGTGGTAGGTGCATGGCAGGAGGTGATGGGAGATGCATGGTATGAGGTGATAGGAGATGTATGGCAAGTCACACTGGAAGCCATGTGGAGGGACATGGTGAGATCTGCATGTCCTTCCCAGGATCCTTCCTGGGTTTCAGGGCCCCACAAGGGTGCAGGTCTCTTTCTATAAGTCAGGCACCCCACTCCATCCATCCACCCACCCAAAGTGCCCCAGGATGCACAGGGATCCCACATAGGCCCCCACCAGCCTCACCCCTGGACCGGAGGATGCTCCTTGTCCCCACCAGGCCCCCTGGGCAGCATAAAAAGCAAAGTCTCCTCTTCTCCCCCCTCCTCTGGGCTGACAGCAGCATCCCCTAGGACACAAATGGGGACATCCACCTTCCCCACAGCCCTGTCCTGCCTCCTCTGTACCGCAGCTCCTCCTCACCCCAGCCCCGTGACCGCTCTCCTTCTCAAAGAGCCTCTCCGGGACACCACGGCCTGTTTTTATGGCAATTATGAACATGGTAAAAATAAATGCATGCATCTTTAATGTCTCAATAAATAAAGGCAAGCAGAGTCTGCTGCTAACGTAATCACAACGGCAGGATGCAGGGAGCGGGGCCGCCGCAGCCGAGCCCGATGTGAAATCCAATCGTGCCCCAGCAGAGGTTACACTGCCCTGCCAAGATAATGAAGCAAAGGCAGCACTGGTTCAGTGTAACCTTTGCTGGAATAGAGCACGATGTCTAATTTACCAAACAGGAACCTCCCGGAGAGAAACACGGGAGGAGCTGGGAGCCGGGGGAGCCGGCACAGCTCCGTTATTGCTTTCACACTGTAATTACTGCTGGAGAGCCACGCAGGAGATTTACTGCACAGCCACGGGTCCCTGCAGCTCCTGCATCCGTGGTCCTGCAGGATAGCTTTGATGAGTAGAGACAGACACAGGTGTTTTTAAATACAGGATGCTCAAGGCTTTAAATGCCACAGAAAACACCTGATCTGGCATTTATCCATCAATCCGGGTGCTGCCATCCTAAGGGGAACACATAGCATCCCCCCTCAGCAGCCCTACAGGAGATGCCAGGCCTGCAAACAGGCCCTGAGAGCACCTGAGTGATGGAGCAATGGAGGGATTGGAGTAACCCCTGCTTGGTGGGGAGCCCCCTCCATCACACTGTGCTGGTGGACATAGGAATGGCTCCAGCAAGCCCAGAGGCTCAGCTGACTCCATCCCTGTGCCCCTGGCCCCATTGCTGTGCCCAGCAGTAGCCTGAGACCCCCTGCACCCACCACCACCTCCATCAACTTCAACCGCATGTCTGTGCACATCTCAGCCCTGAGAAGGCCAGAAGGGAGGACCCAGAGAGCAAATCCCAATGCATACAAGTACATCACAGAGCACAGTGCTCAGAGCACTGATGCAGCAGGGACCAGGGTGGAGGGACCAAGGGATACAGGATACCAGTGGCACTGAAACCCCACAGAAGGTGAAGGAAACACCACACATGCTGCCATTACGTGTCCTTTGGCAGCCCAGATACAGACCTCACACTAAATCCCCTCTGACCAACATCACTGGGAGGTTTGCTATTGATTTCTGACCAAAAAAAGACAACCAGATCCTGGCTTGACTGAAATCATTCACCAACAGCAAGTACAATTGATGGACTGGAGTAATGTCCTTCCCATGCAGACTCCCTGTTCCACGTGTTCCCCTGCTCGGGATGCTCCACACCACATCCCTAACACAGCTCCAAGTCCACACATGGGTTCCCGCGGGGTTGGTCCCAGCATCCGTTCCCAGGCTCCAAATCCCCCCATGCCACTGAGAGCAGGACAACTGATGCTAATTACTCCCAGATTTTGGACAAACCAAGGAATAAGCCAGTCGCAGGGATGGGAAATGTGCCCGCACCAGCAAGGTACCCTGCAGCTCCTCAGCCATGGGATTACCCATCAAGGTTATCTCCATGCAGACTAAGGGATCAAACCAGAAAAAGATAAACAAGAAATGAGGTTTTTCATGGAGAAGGGCTGCTTTCTAGCTTGTACTATTCAATTGAAGCTCACTTGATTTCATTCCAGTTCATCCCGCGCAGTGCAATCACTTATAAACAGAGGCAAAGCGACGGGAAGGAGATGCCAACATTTCCAACGTGTCAACATTTTAATTGGGAAAGGATCTGCTCCCTCTCTTAATGAGGCCCAAAGAACAAAGTCAAAGCACAGAAAAGAGGGAAAAGGTTAGGCTGAGGAACGCGTGCTCTTCACAAAGCATCATCAGAGCCCAGCCCTCATCTTCCCCATCGTTTTGGCAAAAGCAAACAAACCATTACTTCCTCTGCATCACTCCTATAGGGATCAAAGCGGAGCCCAGCCTCCAGCCCAGCCTCTCTTTTCCATGTTCAAAGATGGGTAAGGCAAGAACCTCCTGAACAGTGCTGCCAATGCTCATAAAGGATGCTCATGCTTGTCAGGATCAGCCCCTCAGCCTCAGCAATGCATTCAAAGCATCAGGAACAGTACCCAGCATCAAAACCACGCTCTCAGCCTGCATCCCCCTTGGAGGAGACAAACCCTGATGTCCTTTGGGCTTGGGATTTGCTTCCCAGACACAGGCACAATGGTGTCAATGCCATCAAAGGCAGAGCCCTGGCTTGGTGAACAGCTTACCAGGGCCTAATTTGAAAACTGCTTTTAACTGCTGCCTTAGCAACACAAATACAAATATAACAACAGCTACGCTCGGAACAGAGCAATCAGCAGGGAAATTCTAAACTTCCCCCTTTTTTTTCCTTCCCCAGCTGTTGCTTTCAGATGAGGATTGCCAATTCCATTAGATTAGGGGAAAAAAGGATGTACTAACCGCAGGACAACTCTTCCTGACCTGTACATTGGGAGGGGGGGTGACTTGCCCGTTAGTAAATGGTCTGTTAGCAACAGGGCGCTGCTCTAACAACTGCTCACCCTCTGCCTTAGGAACAGAATGAAACCCCTGAGCATCCAAAGGAGGTTTAAAGGGAATTACTGCAGGTGCCAGAGGAAGGGTCAGTGAGCTGTGGGGACTTTGGGCACAACCAGGCCTTGGGATGGTGGAGAATAGAGGATGCAGGCTGGGATCAGTCCTCAGGATGTGTCCCTGGCCAGGACATGCCCAGGAGCTGGCTCCTTCTCACTCTTCCCTCTTTTGCAGCTATTCCAAATGTGGTTTCTTCCCAAGCCAAACTCAATGAAGGTGAAAACCCAGCTTTCCTTGCTGTGCCCAGGCTCTTGATGGTCCACACATCAGCCCCCGGCAAAGTCCATGGTTGCTGGAAGCTGGACCCATCTCTGCTGACCCGAAGTGACAGGTATCCATCCCTGTGCCAGCCTCTGCCTCAGAAGCATCTCACACAGTGGGGTTTCGCCCTTCTTCTCACTTCAGGGTGAAAACACTTCTATCTTCCTACAAATTACTGTAAACCTGCTGCAACCTCCTGCCAAAGCATGTAGGGACCCTTCACGCAATCAGCTTCATAAAAATGACACATTTAGCACCACTTTTTCAGGGTTATCCCTTGAGCCTTTTCTTTCCCCCCTCTGTGCCTTGCTAATAAAGCTGGCATGTCACCCTTTATTATCAAAACCCAAAGCAGACCTTTCTCCAAGGCTGCAATGTGCATCTCTCCTTTTGGGTTTCAGAAAATCCTCCCAAAACCTGCAATAACTCATCTCTGCATCAAGCTGCACGTCTTCACCAGGCACACCAGGCTCCTGACCTTCCCTCCGTGCTGCAGGCATCATAGGGGACCACAGAAATGGCATATCCTTCCCCAAAATCCATTGGGCTTTCCTGTTGGGAAGAGCAGGGGTTGTAAGACCTCTTCTCCTGTCTCCTTGGTCCTGTTCTCCATAGGACACTCAATCACAGCTCCAGCACCTGCAATAAAACTGTTGCTGCCTGTTAGGAGAACTCGCCAGCACTTCATTCTTACGGTTTGAACTCTATTGCAGGTGACAGAGAATTCATGCAAATGAAATAAAACCATTCCAGAAGCACTTGGGAAACAGGGAAAACATCAAAGTAGGGACCAGGTCAATTGAAGCACACATCAGCAATGAGGGAATGTCATTATCATTTAGCAAGCTGCTTATTTACCCCATGGGAAATAAATAAGCAGCCTGAGACTCC